TTCTCCATACCTCCTAAGTTACACTCAATTCAGAAATGGGAGTGGTGTAGGATGGTCAGGTATAACTTGTGCAAGTTAGAGTAGCCTCATGTTACTGAAGAAAGACCACATTAGCCAGGAGGAGCTCTCTTCATTCAGCGGGGAAAGACTCTCCAGTGTGCTTTTCCATGAGTCCTGCTAGTACCAGCAGTTCTGAACAAAGCTAATGAGCCAAAACTTATATTGATGCTAAAAGTGCCATTGCCCAGAGAGGTATGATATTTACCTTTCATGCTGATCTGAAGCCTGATGTTCAGCATGATGGGATCATCACTCAGAATCAGGATACATCTCCCCATCCCAATGTATGACAGATTGGATCCTGATAAAGTTGAGTCTTTAATTACAGTGTCTTTGAATAGATGCCTGAAGGACAAGAGCCAGCCATCTCAGAGGATCTCCTTTATTGAATGGAAAAAGTTTGTCGTGATGGAATCAGATCTCAACAGATCCCTTTATCTGCCTTGTACAAGAACTATTTGAGTACCACCTTTTCTCTGACTACATTTTTTTCATTGCAGTATGCTTTGGCCTTTTGGGTTTATTTGGAGTTTGATATTTTTAATGCAACGCTGTTGAAATCTTCTTCTGAACTACTCAATTCTAGGGAACATAGTATGGAAGGTCTTTTTCCTGGAGATAGTGAGTTCAATTCTCAAATTCCTTGATGGAGGGCCAGAAGGGAGCATAATAATTATTAGTCCAAGCTTCTGCATCGCACAAGGCAAAGAATGTCATTCGACATTGAGCACAATAACTGATGGTTGAACTAGATGCGTTTTTAGGAAGGCAGACACTCAGTCTTGATTTACAAAAAAACCAAGGAGTCCAGTGGCACTTCGACTAACAAATTTATCATCATCTAAAGAAGTAAGTTGTAGCTCACAAAAGGTTATGCTCTAATACTCTAATTATTATGTTAGTCTTTAAAGTGCCACCAGACTCCTTGTTGTTTTTTGCTGAAACAAACTAACACAACTACCTCTTTAAAACCAATCTTAATTTAAAGAATCAATACATAGCTATCATGCGGAGATTTTCAACTGTGTATCTCACATCCTTTTAGAAAGGAAAGCTAGACAGAAACAAGTGATAACTCAGGTCATCTGACTCTTGACCCAGTGACCTGTGCAATGGACTAGCTTGTCTCAAAACAAGAGTGCTTGAGGGCCTACTGCCTGATCCTCTTTTTTTATATCCAATTTAAAAGAATCAGATAGTGCTAAGGATTCGTCCAAGACTCCTCCTACGTAGCATCAGAAGTCAACATCCGTGGCCTATTCTGTCAACATTCTTTCTACTTCAGTGCCCTCATTCTGATGAGTCCTTTCTCCCTGTGCTTGATGTGCACAGTCTTGTTAGTTTCACTTGGAGCAGACTAACATCCTTAGATATGGCACTTAATTTTCAATTATAATGATCTTTGTGTATGAACCTTACATAATATGCCAAAGCAAGGCTGCTTGGCCTGTGAATGTCACCATCACAGACATTTGAAAGGCAGCTACATTGGTTCTCCCTCCCTCTATGCATCCCCTGGCCCCCAAAGAATTATTGGATGGATTAACTTCCAGGAAGAAGTCCTATTTGGATTATTTGCTGCAGAATTGGTTCCAAGTCAAGGCAGGCCATGCTGCTTCTCTTCCACCATAAAAAATATTTTTTGGCTCATGTTGAATATCACCATATTTGCAGTTGGCAAAATATTTTCGAGTAGTAGGTTCATTCAACAGATTTGTATTTTACACCTGATACTGTGTTTGGTGAGGTAATTTTTAAGTCTTTTTTTTAATTTTGAAGAAAGTCTGTGATTGGATTCATGGTGGGCGTTGCCATAATTGCTGCTCATTGTGACTGGGGGATATCATTCTTTTGGGATATCTCTTGAGCATCTTACTCTTGAAGACTCAGAATCCTGTGCAGATGATACCATTAACAAAAGAAAGATGAGTTACCTGTAACGCTGCTTCACAGGAGTTATTGTCTTGCTGGAATTTCATTGCCCTACTCATTGCTCAGCAGATTTTGAAAGTAACCTTTTTCCTGATTTTTTCTTTTGACCTTTGTCTTCTGAGCTGTTCTTTTTTGCATATGTTGATCTTTGTGAATTGGTTTTCTTTTTGGAAGCTTTGCTTCCCATTTGAAAGAATAGATTGGAACATTTGAAGAACAGCAGTCATCAGAGAGTTAGAGCGCACAGCACTATTGTTGTCCTACCTATCTGCCTTCAATAGATTATATTTTTTAATCTTTAGAAGTAAGTGGCTTCAACTGTTCTAAAGGTAAGAAGCTAAGGCCCAAGCTTAAGATTCCTGAATGATGTTATCCTCAGAAAAGCAAAACTACAGGTAAGTATCTTTCTATTTTATAGCCTGATTACACACACAAGCAGATGTGTTCCTTAAGTTGATGCCCTTTCTATAGAATTTTAGAATCTGATTTTCATTTACACTATGGCCACTTTGCAACACTGAGTGTTTTCTGCCTACTGTAAGGCCCTATAAAATGTCCATAATGTAAATGAGAGTAAGACCCTAAATTTATAATGGGAATGGCTGAATAGTACTGGTTTTGGAAATTGATTTTGAATGGGAATCAGAGCAGAAATAAAAGAGCATCATTAAGTTGAAGGAGGCAGCCTAGACAGATCTGGTATAATTTGTCTTAGTTACATGTCTGTACTGCAGCAGCTGTAGAGATTAATGCCATTGCTTTCTGATGCTGATGTTTCCTCTAGGCAGCAGATGAACTGAATTTGAGTACTGCAGTGGGTAAGCATTTTTAACTGCAGTCAGCATGGACTTTAGTTCCTTATACATTATCAAATATTGAATGCAGCCAGTTTCTTCTGAGTTAAAATCCATTTTGGAACAGCATAATTGAACAATGTATTTTACTTAGGAAAAAATACCCAAATGACTTTCTTGTTATGTATCCATTTGAAGTAAAGGTCTTCTTTGGCAAAGATTTTGTTTTAAAATTTCATAGAAGCCCAAATTTGCTTTTTTTGTTCCGCCCTGAGTCTTGCATGTGTTAGCACATTGACAGAATAAAACTATTGAAAGCCTGTGTTCTATTACTGTGGGTAATACTGGAAAGATGTCAAAGTCATTTGAAGTACTCTGGCATAATGTTTTCAAAATACATGGGAATAGTTTATTCAATTCAAATCCTAAGTAAGGGACCTGTTGGCTTCAGTGGGAGTTTGTGTGTGAAGCACTTGTAGAAGCAGGCTGTTAGTCATGTAAACAGGCATCTATGACTGTGACATTTGAAATAAATATTGGTTTCTGGAAGCTTTTAACATGACTGGAATACTAACATGGTCATGCACAGTGTTACAAGCCTGTTAATTTGGCCAGTTATTTATTTGTCATAGACGATATGGATGTGATTAGTAGGGTTAAAATCACAGAAATAACATTTTTTTTAAATAACACAGCCAACCTGCTGGTTTTTAAAAGTGTCCTATTGTTACCATTGCATTGTCCTGTGCAGTCCTGTCTCTCTTAATTTCTCCTTGCTTGCTATATGCAGAAGATCCTCATTGAAATCTCTGTAGAGTTTGGTGTGGGATAAAGCTATTCTCCACAGCACTTTTCCTTGGAAATCAAAGGATTTATTTTAATATGGAAATCTGGGTGGGAATAAAATATACTTCAGAGTTGTATTACCTCCTACTGGTTCCCCATGTCCAGCTGTTACTGAACAGCTGCAGAGAGGCCCTGCCTGTAGCTCTTCCTGCATACATCCTGCTAGGGTGAAGGGGTTATCCTTACAGGACAACTTCCTTTCGCATAGATTCATGAGATACATGACCAGGATGGGGAAGTGAAGGCTAAAAAAAATCTGGTTAATTTTAGAGAGTGTAGCCCTGGTGAATTCTCTTAAGTATAAACATACATGGGTGGGGTTTTTCAAATGACCAGGGCTTTTTAGTTGAAGAAGAAAGAACTGAAATAGTAAAAATGTACTTTGTGAGTAAGAAAAACTACTGTACTTATGTAAATGTGACATCCTTTCAGTTCTTCCAAAGTCAGAAAGGCCATTTGGCTTTGTACTGCCACCGATAAACATTAATGTAACTACGGGTTGAACATCTTTAAACCAGGACTCTCTGGTCTGAGAATATCCCTGGTCTGGCAGATACTCACAATTGAAGGCCAGTGGCAGTAGCCCTGCAGGAGCTGGGAACCCAGCCAGGCTGGCTGCAAGGAGGCCGGTGTCCAGAAGCACAGCATCAGGAGTCCAGATGAGCTGGCAGCAGTGTGGCTGGACCGCCAGTGGGCCAAGGCACAGCAGAGGGCTGCCAGTGGGGCCAGGAGCATTGGCATGGCAGCAGGCTAGGCTTTTTCTCTGAAAGTCAGGAGCTCAGAATGAGATGATGATACACAATGTTTGTAGCTAAAGCACTTGCAGAGCCTGGGGAAAGCCATGATGAGATTATACAATTTGGCAAATCCTTTCTTAGGATATTGGTTTAATTTCTGTTTATGGTATCATAAAAATGTTCTGTTTTTGCAAAAGCAAAAGGGACTTAAAGTTGATCTCATGACTAAAAGGTATAAATATAGCAACAGGCTTGTAATTCTAAAGTTTATAGTTTAGAAAAAAGATGAGAGAAAAGATTTACATATTGGGGAAAATAATTACTTGAGGTTTTTTCCAAAATCAACAAAGTTGATAGGATCATAAATAAGCTGAGCAGAGGTAACGAATGGAGTATTGAACATGAAGATCTTTGAGAGGTTATGTGGTCTAAATCCATAAAAGGATTTTGAGACAGGATTGTGGAAAGGGTAAAGAAGCAAGCAAAGTGGTTATACAAAGCATGGTTTGAAGAATGGAAATGTCAAAAGGCCAATAGTAGATATTATATCTGTTTAGAAATAAGCATTTGGAACTTGAGTCAGATTCATATAATGCTGACTGACTTTCTTGTTATCTGTTTTGTTCTATAGGGTTGTGGTAAAAAAATGTACACTTTCTTAAGAGGAACGAAACAATTGCAAGTGCTGCGATTTCTAGGAATTTCTATTGGAGTTACACAGATTCTAGCTATGATCCTCACTGTTACTTTGCTGTGGGCGCTATATTATGACAGAAGGGATCCTGGGACAGATCAAATGATGTCCTTGAAGAATGACACCTCCCAACATCTGTCATGTCATTCAGTGGAGCTGCTGAAACCAAGCCTGACAAGGATCTTTGAACATACTTCCATGACAGACAGCTTTAACACACGTTTTGAAATGGAGGAATTATAGGTGATATAAATGAATGTGGGAAGTTGCTAAGTTCCAGGGCTTTTGGTTTTTTTTTGTTTCCCCTTCCCCTCTTCTCCCCCCACGCTGTCTCCTTCATTTCTGAGTACACTGTTCTATTTCAGAAAATCTCTAATGAACAGAAATGGAGATACCTCCGTGGAAGGACAGTTAATGCACAGCATAGAAGACACTGATATCTACTACACAGGTAGATAGACACTTCTAATGACACTTTAAAAAAAGAAAGCATCATAGAGAGTAGAAAGATAATGGTCTTCCATAAAAGTGCCTGCATTTGAGAGGCAAACAAAATTGATTTTTGAACACATATCTACTAAGCCATTGGAAAAATGTTCAGGGATATATGTGGATATAAGTGTGTGTGTGTGTGTGTGTGTGTGTGTGTGTGTGTGTGTGTGTGTAATATATATGTAGTAGAACTACAATTCAAGTAAATGCTTGGGTTTAAAAATTGCAGCATCTGTAAAAAGTAAAATTATCTTTTCCTTTTGCCTATTTTTAATAGCATGTTTATGTTTTTCATTTAAAGATTTTTCTAAAAACCTCTATTTTTATCCAGAGGATTGTTTAATTTTTAAATTAAAAACAAATTAAATGGAGGTTTTAAAAACCATGAATATGATCAGTATACTGATCATTTATTAGTCTAAATGTGACCTAACTTCTAGAAAAAAAATTGTAAACTGTATGTTCTTTGAACTGGACTTATTTAGTATAAATAAAACATACTTTCTTTCCAAACGAGGGATCAGTGTGAGAGTAGCAAATCTTTATAGATTACTGCTCTTTCTCCTACTTCTTTCTCCACTCCAGATAAAAATGAAAGTCTATAAGGAAAACAAATACCTACTGGTTTATTGTTCTGGATGCAACTGCAATAAATTTGAAATGTCAGAGAACAGAAGAAGAAATTTAACTCTAGCCTTTTTTTTCATTGAAAGGCCTCTGGTGACTCAAATTGCCACATGGCAATAGAGTTAAAATGTATTTATTGAGGTGGGAAAAGTGCATTTTACTGTATTTTTATGTAAATTTTTATTTCAAAAGATTATTTTTTACAGTCATACAATTTTTTGAAAAATGTTTTATTTCAATAATAGTCGTTTGCCACATGTGGGGTTTTTACACAGTATTTCCTCCTGGTTTGGAACTGTGTAGAAAAAAAATCAGTTGTCCAATGGCAGCCAATAAAATCACTACTGTCCAGAATTTTGTGGTGTGTTTTTAAGGGTGAAAAGAATGGATGTAATTCAACATTTAAAAGACTCCATGTGAAACGTCCTTACTTCTGTCAAATTGTCACTATTGTATATTTTTTAAATGTAGGAATTAGCTGTGAATTTCACTGGTTTTTAACCTTTTAATTAAAGTTTCAGGTGACTATGAAGCTAGGGAGCTAGTTCAGAGTTTAACCTTTCTTTAGTGATCTGTGTGCATACTTAATTCCCCTGCAGGCATCACTCTGTGCTGAAGCTCCTGCTGTTGGCTCTCCCAAACCAAATTACATTGTAGCTTTTGGACTCTACTTTCAGAGTGATCATGTTTATATGGGAAGATATTGCTGGGGAAGGGGAATTTAGTGGTTTGGGAATGTCACTGTGATGCAAGCCCACTCCCACTTGTCCCACTGCATCAGTAAAGGTTTCCTATGGACAAATCTGTCATTACTAAGGGCGGTGGAAGACTGTTGTGCGCTCCTGGAAAGAGGATGTCAGATCAGTTGTCCAAGAAATGATGCTCTAAGAATAGTTCTCCCTTTTACTCAGTCTTTTATTCCCTGCTTCTCTTGCCACCATACCCTCTGTCATGTCCTGTTACTTTATAACAGGGGCCACTCCAAGATTTTGGAAAGTGGGCAAGGGCCACACTTTTCTGTGGAGGAAGTGCAGGGTCCAGGATGGAGGCTGGTGCAGAAGGGCTCATAGAGTAAGAAACTGGGCTGCGGGAGATGATGTGAGGTCTAAGACGGAGTTTGCCTGAAAGAGAGGATTGTGACCTGGGTCAAGGGAATGGGGTGCAGAGTCTGGGCAGGAGTATGGGTGCAGGAGAGGATTCTGCACTAGGGGAGGGTTGTAAAGGGGGTACAGAGTCTGGGAGGAAGTTGTGACCTGGGGGGGAGGGGCAGAGGGTTTGGAGGGTCACCAGGGGGAGGGAGTTGGGATGTAAGAGGGGCAGGGGTGCCAGAGGCAGGCTTTGGCTGGTAGGTGCTTACCTAAGCATCTCCCGGCCAGCAGCTCTGCAGCACCCTCCAAGGCAGGCTGGGCTCCCTGCCTGCTGTAGACTCAGACTGCTTAAAACTGCAGGCTGATCATCCATATGGCTCTCAGCTCCGCGAAGGGGGAGCGGCTTGCACTGTCCCCATTCCCCAGGCCAATCTCTCAGTTTCTGTTGGCTGGTTGTTTCCGGCCAATAGGAGCCGAGGATTGAGCTGGGGTGAGATCACCCGAAGCCTCCCGCTCCTTCCCGAGTAGAGCGCCACACGGAGCTGCCAAAACAGCGGCTGCTGCGTGCCTCAGGGTCCCAGCAGGGTGGTGTGTGGGCCAGATCCGATGGCTTGGTGGGCTGGATCTGGCCTGCGAGAGGTATCTTGCCCATCCCTGTTTTAGAACCCAATCCTGGAAACACTTTCTACCTGACTTAGTTCCACTTAAGTTAATACTCTCCTTTCCAGGTGCATTATGAGGAGTTTCTTATTAATGTTTAAGACAAGGGGATGGACTCCTTAGGGAAATCTGAAAGTAGAATAAATACATGCTTTTGAAGAGGAGGAAAATCCACATACATCTTTTAGTTAGTGTGTCTAACTCTCCTAGTAATCTAATACACACATTGAACAAGAGTATAAGAAAAGTGACACCCAGTGATACCCCACACAGGTGCATATGCAGGACTGAAGAACTGCCAGAAAATGCCCTCTGTGTTGTTTCTAACACAAAAGAATGGCTCTTGGGTGATGGTGATTATATCTAAAGGTACCTACACAGCACCCTTAGCTCGAAATAAGCTACGCAATTTGTGCAGCTTATTTTGTAATTTGGTGCTGTCTACACAGTGCCAAATTTCAAAATAACTTGCTAGTCCAAAATGCTCCTTAGCCAGAGCCAGTCTTAGGGCCGCTATTTTCAAGGGGCCGCTGACAGATGGAAGCCTGCTCGGGATGTGCAGCAATTAAAGGGGCCACAACCGCATTTTGGCTCCTCCCCCCCCCTTTTGTTTGCGCAACAAATTTTCCTCACCTGGACCTGCCAGTTGGTTAAGACCAGCCCTGCCCTTAACCAAGATGTCAGAATAAGCTGGATTCTATTTCAAAATAACGGGCTGCTTCAGTAGATGCAGAAAGCTATTTCAGTATACTTCCGGAATCCCAAAATAGCTCCATAGTGTAGACATACCTTTATATTGCCACAGCTAGCACAGGTCATCTGAACTGGATTCCTGGGACTCAGGCTGTGGTGCTAAAAACTGCAGTGTAGAAAAGTGGGCTGAAGCTGGAGTCAGAGATCTGAAATGCCATGATGGGGGGTGAGTCTGAAAGTTGGGGCTCTGGTTCACAATCAAGCATCTAGACTGCTTCTTTTTTAACTCTACTAAAGTTGAGCCCTGTGAGCTCAAGTCAGTTGATAAAAGGTGTGGTGCTGTGGGTTTTTTATTGCAGTGTAGCTGTAGCTCCCAGGCAGGTAGAAGAGCTACTTTTGGCATGAAGAACACCTCATCTTCATTCCATATGGGTGGATCGTTGCTAATAGAACCAAAGGAGATCTCTTCCATAACCAGATTGGGCCCTCGTCAGTGAGGGTTCTGTTTGTCAGTTGGCTTTGGCACCTGTGGAAAAGCTATCATGTGAAGTCTGAATCGTAATGTACACCCACAAAGGGGCAGTTCTTAAATTTCTTCTTGACTCCGAAGCCTTAATAATGCTCTTCTAACACATTTTGTGCGTGTATGTAATAAATAAATATGGTGGAGGAGAGACCTATTTTCAAGGGAAGTGTTCAAAGAAGTTTGCTGAGGTGAGGGTCACATTCTTGGAAGTTCTTTTAGATCACTAGCTTCTCCATCTTGAAGTGGCAACATTAGTCACGGGGGCTTAGGATTGTGATTTTTTTCTTCTCAGGTGTGGACTTTGCTGTAATTACTCATTTCCTCATGGCCTGCAGATTGTGCAGTGGCAGGTGAATTACCCTCAGCAGCTTCCTAGAAGCATGAACTAAGTGCACATCATGGCCATCGGCTATAGCAGGGGTGGGCAAAAGGGCGTCTGCGGGCTGGATCTGGCCTGCCAAGTGGGTGGATCCGGCCCTTGGAGGCCCTGCTGCTCTCCCACCCCCCAGGTCAATTAGGGCTTGGGAGCAAGGGAGTGCCCAAAACCTTCTCCGCTCTGCCCCCGCCCTGCATGCCCAGACTAATCATGGTTGGGGGTAGAGTAGCCCTGCCCCTTCCTGTTTAGACCCCGGCCCTTCCAGGGCAGCCTGGGGCTACTTCAAACATTTTTGAAGTGGTCCCTGGGCAAAAATTATTGCCCACCCCTGTGCTGCAGAATCTTTCTATGTGTAGGAGTTTACACCTATGCTTCATAGACTTTAATGATTCCTTATCCTAATTACTGGGGTAGGGTGTTTGATCTAGATCCGTGGTCCCCAACACGGTGCCCGCGGGCGCCATGGCATTTGTCTGCGCTCGCCAAGTGCTCAGGGCTGGCCTGGCCCCGAGCACGTGGCACATGCGCGGTGCCGGAGCCGGCCCCGGGCGCGTGGCGCACGGTGAGCGCCGGCCCCGGGGGCGCCACGGATTCACCCCCCGCAGCGCATGGGGGAGGGAGGGGAGAGAGAGCCCCGGCCCCGGGCTCGTGGCGCTTGGGGGAGGGAGGGGGGAGGCGGACGGTAACGGATTGGCTGCCCGCGGCGCATGGGGGAGAGGAGGAAGAGAGCACCAGCGCCGGCCCCGGGAATGCGGCTATGGGGGGGGCCCCGCTCAGGGGGGCCCCGCCCCCTGGGCGCCCGGTGGGCGAACGGCCACACCCCCTGGCGCCCGGCAACCCCAAATGGTTGGGGACCACTGATCTAGATCAAAACCGTACAAATCCATGCTAATGGAGTGACCATCTCTTTCCATGTACGGCACTGTCTGCCAACAGAGATGAGCTGTCCATCCCTGCTACATTTGAAAGTGGCTGGGAGGGATGTTTCCCTCTGTTGACAATAATAGTGTTAGAGGGAAACGTGTGTGTGTTTGGAAGGGGGGAGTGTGTCTGGCCATCTGTGTCCTACTCTGGCTGCTCTCTTGTCAGAGCATCAGGGAACCCATTCAGCAGCACTGGGCCCTTCCTGCATTGCACAGCCATGCAGCCACTACTGGCCCCTGCATTACACTTCCAAGAATGATACTTTAACATCCCAACCCCTCCAGGAAGCCAAATAGTGGTGGGAAGGGAAGGGAAGGGATTTGGTAAATGCACTTTAAGTGACTCCTGATGTCAGAGCCAGAATTTGGTACCCTTTAAACTTTCTACCTTCAGTTTTTGGACTTTCAGCAAATATTGACTGGTATTGAATTGTTTTTCCATCCACATCTGCCCAGTGCCATGCTTCTCTCCAAAATTCCTTAACCCCTGCCTATGCAAGCAACACACACACACATACCTACGTGGCAAGTCAATGGGACTACTCGTGAGGATGCGGGGTTTTGCCCATGAAAGCAAATATATATATATTTGTTAGTCTCTAAGGTGCCACAGGACTACTTGTGTTTTAATGTGACAGTAGTGCATGAATGTCTGACATGCAGTGATGATTAAGTTGTAGAGATGCTTCAAATGGCACACTTTGAAAAACCATTCGCATGGGTAAATTTTATACATGGGCAGGATCAGGCCCTGGATTTGTACAGCATGTTGCATAATGGTAACCTAATCCCAGTTGTTGTATCTGGGTTCTACTGGAATATAAATAGTGATAAAGGCAGTTATGACACAGCCTCTGACTCTGGATACTTTCCTCGGGGCTCTGATAAAGCTTTACATTTATTGGCCAAGTTTAAGTATTTATTTAGCCTCTTTGCTGCATGGAGGATAATTATAAATTCTGTCTTCAGTAAACAACTCATTTTGTAAAGTGCCACATATATTTTAGGCAATATATGAGTAGTAATAACCGGTACCAATAATAGAGACCCTTGATCATAGGTCTCTACACAATTAAATGTCTTTTACAGACCAGAACCTTGGTATCACTTTTGATGTTTTGACCATACTTGTCAACACAAGTACTTTTACTTGTGTTGACAAAATTAGATATTTAATATTGCATTGCAAATCCTAAGTGAGTTTCATTGGCTGATTTGGAATGTCTTTAACTACTTCAAACATTTCACCCCCATCTATTCACTTTGGACACAATTCCTGTATCTTCTTTTGATATCAGAGCTTAGATGGCACAAAAATGGCTGCTTTAGCAATACATAAATAACCAAAACAGGCAGCTAGTGACTATGTAAGCTAGATAGATAACCAGGCAGACCTTGTCATTTAAATTAAAGACTAGATATGTAGGCACTTGTATTGCCCACTCACTTCTCTCATCTCTTCATGTCCAATCGCTACATTTATGGACCCAGTGTCATTTCCATTTAGTAGTTGCATTTGATTGCTGCTCCAGGAGAAATGATGCAAAATATGATGCCAATGATTCTATCTGATCAATTGTATGAGTAGAAGTTTGCTTCAGTAACTATGGTTTCTCTACACAAAATGTATATTGTTGCAGGCAAATAGATGCATGTGTTCTGGAAAATAGTCTACATGACATGGAAAAACACAGAATTTCAGGCCCGTAGTTGCATTTGATTGCTGCTCCAGGAGAAATGATGCAAAATATGATGCCAATGATTCTATCTGATCAATTGTATGAGTAGAAGTTTGCTTCAGTAACTATGGTTTCTCTACACAAAATGTATATTGTTGCAGGCAAATAGATGCATGTGTTCTGGAAAATAGTCTACATGACATGGAAAAACACAGAATTTCAGGCCC